CCTGCCACATTCCGCGAGCGGAACGAGTTTCGAACTGGCAGAAGAAACCTCCAACTCTACTGGCCAGGCGAAGCTCCTTGAGCGTCATACCTTTGAAGAGCCTAAACACCGTTAGTGGACGTGATTTGGTAAGTCGCCGATGGTTTAAAACCGAATCTTTTAAGATAATATTTTAGTCACGCCCTGTCTGATAAGAGAGGAGACTATCCGAACGTGATTTAACAGTTCGCTTTCACGTAGATTAGACAATCCCATTATCAGTTACTGGTCGGTGGAGGGCCATAGGATCTGCTTCGCACCATTGATCGATGTCGAATGGATAGTGACAATTACGTTAGATAAAGGTCGAAAAACACAGAATGTTGGAAAGAAACGCACCTCTAGCGCCTAGTAAATTTCCCCGTACTTGTGGCGGCGAACGAAGTTAGAATCTGATGAAGTTAGCTGAGATGAAAATTCCAGATAAACGATAAAATCAGTGATGATCTTTCAATCTCCGACCACTTTGATAGCTTTTTCATTCTCACCGTAAGTCTGAAAATTTGTACATTCAATTCAGTTTCAATTGATCAGCTATAAACCGTGTACCATAGGCACATTTGTCCCAGATACCACAGTTTCGATCACCGGAAAACGGGAGTGTGGGACGTAGAACCAAGCCTTGGAGGCGAAGCCATGTTCAGTTTGTTCGGAAATTGGGTCTCTATGCATTGAAAACGATAGTTTTGATGCACAAGCGCTACCAACTTCGCGATTGGGGCATTTCTTCCAACGTCAATAACCATTGGTGATTTGGGTCTTGGAGTCCCCAACCAGGAAGGCGGTAGTTGCCGACCTGACTACGTTTACTGGTTATTGCTTTTGTACTTCGTTGCCAGGTCGTGCATTGTCCACCTCTCGGTCGCTTCCACTCAGCACAGGGCTGGGCGAAAAGAGCTTTGAAGCAGATGGTCTTCTGGCATACGCAGTACATGTCCTAAGCAGTGCAACGTGAGTAATTCATCTACTACGGGAGACCATCTGACGTATCTCACCATTACTAATCCGATGTTCCCACCAGACCTGACCAATGCTTCGGNATGTTCGCTTCATTCCTTATTCAATACATTTTAATCCCTTTCTACGTCATTTTTACTTTCCGACAATAGTACTGAGAATGCAATAGACTAATACCGTCGAGGGAGAAATTTGCCATCGTTGATGCCAAATTTGCCTTCAATTTAAGCATTGATCACACCTATTAGGTGAAGCAATTATTTTACTGTCGAACATGCATTTTTATATTCGTAGGTCCTTCCAATCGGGACTTATTATAACCTCCCGAAAAACCTAAAGATTCGCATCAGGGAAGGCTCTTCTCTTCCCATGGGCCAGTGTTAAATTGTGATGTTATTGAAGCTTCTAGTGCTTTATCCTGTTCATTTTTTACCTTAGCTGTTCGCCCCAAAAGGGTGCCTTCCCCATGTACATTTTTTTAAAGCAAATAGTAACTTTGTGGGTGACAGTGGCGAAGCCCTAGTGACTCGTCTTTTGATACAGCTGTTTCAAATGGCCTCCAGAGCAAGTATTTGTTTCTCTCAAGTAACTTTAAGTCGTTGGACCTTACCGCAAAGCAAACAGATAATACTCGTCATATGCGCCGAGAAGGTTATATTACGGATTTCCCCTCATGACTACTGGACTCTTGTGGTGTCACGCGCAAACAGGTGGACACCTGAAGTGTGGCAGATTACTCAATCTTAGCTGAGGATTGATCAATTCACTTGGAAGCTTGAATGCAAAATTTAATTATCCACGTCGGATACAGTTGGGTTCAGAGGTTGATAAATGTTTTCCCCATTAGTAGGTCTCAGGAAATCCGGTAACTCACACAGCTCAGCTAAAGGGAATATGGCTATTTTCCTTCATACGACACAAATTATAAAAGTAATAAGAGGTTTGGAACAGATCGCTATCTTTTTCGTTTTTCTTAGGGTTCATGAGTAAAGCCTAGTCCCGGGATTTCCATTAGGCTCATTTTGTACGTGAGTGCCAAATTGTACCCATGTTGTGATAAGTGTTCACTTGCAACTCAAACCTGTGTCAACTGGAAACCCGACCGAAATTTATCTGAAGAACTGCAGAAACCAGAGATTCACGTGCACAGTACCTGAATATCCAATCACAAACACATCATTAGTGGATAGAGTATAAATAGGCCCGAATAAAACACTTATAGTACACTGGCTTCAATAAACCACTTCACTCACCTTGGTTATTATATCTTGGTCCATACCCTGGGGAAATAATACTGGTCCAAAAACAGTGCCAAGACAGATACTGTTCATCCGATTCTGTGACTCTAACCGAACAACTCGTGACAATAGGCGTAACAAGCGTCGAAGAACGCGCTTGTTTGACGCCGGCAGTAGCTGGACAAGCAGACGGAGCGCCTTGAGCTGCTTCCCTGTTATTAAGTCAATGCGCTGATGGTCTTCAATAAGACGAAATCTTGAAACAGGACTTTGGGATGGGTCGGATTCCAACAGTTCGGTATCCGAAAAAGTGGATCTGACCTCCGTCGTTCTGAGACCTGGACAGAGTTCATAAATAGGGGTGGAGTGGATGACTACAGTTTAGCAGAAGGGAGAAAGACTGAAAGCATAGGTTTCATTCAATATATGGGAGGAAGCTAATTCTAAGACAGGGAGGGGTCCTACTTTGGGCCGGGCAGAAGGCATATTGACGGTTCGGACGGATGGCTAGCAGCATCCGTATACACACCCCTCATACGAGAAGTCTAGACAGAAAATGTGACGGATCATCAAGTCTCAGTTTATGGGTCACACACCTCATTTTACAAAAGACTGACAGATAGACCTGACAGATAGTCTGACGGGCTTCAGACAGCTTCCATCCAGTGTCTCATTCAACGCTGGATTTTAATTTGAGTGACGTCTATGACACCAACTGCAAAAGTCACTTCCCACTTCAGATCAGCTAGCTGTCATCATCATACCAAAGGGATCCACTTCTTCATCAGTCTATAGGAGAACGCCATAGATAAAGCTTAAAGATATCGAGCAGACCAAACGCATTCCTGGCAGGGTGATGAAGTACACGAATAAAGTTCCTGGCTGAGTAGCTGGCCTGCTGAGCCTCAATCACAAGCTGAGCTTCTCTTCCCCCCTCCACACCATCAACGTTCTTTCCAATCGAACGGATGATTTAGTCCTTAAGCAGTTTCCCCATATTGTTAGCGCTAAGGATAACTCTGCACAATCCGGTATTAGGTAGCTGCACAAAATTATGGGCAGTATTTGACACAGCTGATGACCTAAATGCAGGGTTGCCGGTGAAGCTTGCATTGGGGTTCGGGGTTGACATGGGAGCTATGCGTTGAAGGCGGTAGCTTGGATGCACGAGCGCCATTGAGGGTGCGACTGGGCCATGTCTGGTAGAGTCTCCAACCGTTGTTCTGTCCCGTTTCAGCTTCCCCCATCCAGAGAGATGGCAGTGACCAGCGCAGCTAAGTTTGCTGTTGGTGATTTCCATGTTTAGTTGCCAAGTCAGTGTTTGACCTTCCCTAGCTCGTTGTGCGAAAACAGCCCTTCGAAGAAGTCAGTCGACTAGTATACGGAGCATGTGACCAAGCCAGCGCAACCCACGGAGTTTGACTACCGTTGGCGAGCTATTCTGTCTGAAAACCATTCGACTTAATTGGGTTGTTCTGATGGGTGTTCCCATCTGACTCCAGCACTGACCGAAGACATTGATGGTTAAACACTGAAAGCTTTTGGTATCCTCGGCGCGCAGCGGCCAGGCCCCGTAAGGCAATATGGCGCACACCGCAGCATTGCAGACTCGCCACTTGACGGATAAGTTCATGCCACGCCTGCGCGACAGGTGGTGCAGGTTCGTGAAAGTTGCTCTGACCTCCCGAATCCGGGTGGAAATACCACCTTTGCCGGGACTGATACAGCTGCCCAGGGAAACAAAATTGTCTACTCCCTCAATCGGCTCATCCGCAAGCATGGGATTAGAATTCGGGCCTATCCAGTCTTGAAGCAGCACTTTACACGTTGTAGCTGTAAAGCGTATGCCAAATCATGAGGCAGAATTATTTAGATTATTTTATGTTTGAATTACCACGGTGTCAGATCCGAGATCTATGTCTTCTTTAGACTGATTCCACCCGTATTACTAGCTGGATAGATGAATTAATCACCCAGTATATTGCTATCGTTTAGTAGCTGTGTCCAGAAAAACGCACTTCTGACCCTTAAACCGAGATAACAGATGAGAGAAGACGCGGCTAAGTCTTCTGCACAACCCGTTTCACTGTGTTCTTGCACCAGTGCTGGATCTTCAAGGACTGTTTAATCCACAGCTGACAATGATGATGATTACATACTTTTGACGCTTCGGTTTCAGGTTCACAAGTGCCAATATCCTTCACTGGGTTGAAACAACCTATCACTGGCCTTGCCGGTTAACACAAAACACTATCCTTCCCAGCTAGACTGTAGTTTATTCAACTTTTTCGGACCACACAATCACTTCCTCCCACTAGATGACCCTCAAACATCTAAATGATTGTGAATGAAACTTACGGGAGATAAATCATTCTACAATGCTTCGGAAAACCATTTTATCAGAATTTTGATCAAGTGTTAGTTGGAATCCACAGCACAGGGTACTGCGAAATACTGTTTCCGCATTACGAGCTGCTGTCGGTTCACGGGCAATTTCTAATTTAAAAGTAAGCCTTTACACTGTATGAATTGGTGCACGTGCAAATCACCCAGCAATGGAGATTCCGACAAATGCGGGTGAATGGAACAATTAAACGGATCCCCAGTACCCAACCATTTCTGTGAATTTGACGTCTGGGATAAAATAATGAGGGTCAAACCCGCATACAAAAAAACGAACTATTATGCATCAGGTGGTCGTTGATGTAAACACTACTTTCATACACCTGGCCGATGGCTGTCCCTGCTGTACAACTCATGTCTCAGTCTGGCTGAATGGAATGTCGATTTTTTGCGTATGATTAGCGCTAACCCTGTACCCCATAAATTCCCAAAACCGACCTTATTGAGTTTTGTCCCAGCTGAGTGACTGTCAGTCTGACCAGGTCCGTGAGCCCACTCTATTCAGTGGTTATGGAGGGGCGGGCGGTAGGGCCTGGAGCGCCATAGATTTGCGAATCCACTGACACGACTTTGTGCGTGTGTATACGTTCAGCTGGCTGCGATGACACTAAAAGTGCAAACATCACTACAACCTCCGTGGAAAACCCTAGTTCGCCAGTTGACAGACAAGATAGATGGCCCACTGCACTTTATCTGATTGAACTTAGCGCACCTATAGTTAACGTGTTTGTGCCTGCTAACTCCGTATGCGTGTGTTGTATGGCGTTTTTCGTTCCATATTCAGTGAGTGACCCACAGCTGTTGAGTTGTTAGTTGGATTAGAGTCTATTTTGTGAGACCTCTGTTTCCCGTTCAGACAGCGTGCCAAGTGACAAGCCATGGGTTTCATAGAAGTGTACCTGAGACTTGTTTAGTCCACCCAAACTGTGCTCTAGTTTTGACCTGTGGTGACAGCGTTCCACGGGGCTTTACGCAGGTCTGCCAACTCTATAACGCACAGGGTCGAATTTAGTTGTGGAAAGCTGTTTACAAAGTGTCATCCACGCCTCTGGAAAGGAAACGAGAATGAGCTGGGCTCAAAGAACTCAAGATTAGGCGCCCGTAGAAAGACAATCCACCTGTCAGTATTGTGCACCTACGTTATCTGGGTGCAAAATGTAAGAAGTTACCTAAGCTTTAAGTATTGTGCAACATGGGGATTCACCAATTAGGCTACACAAGCGAGCCCTCCTCGAACAAGTCAGTGACATGAAATTGAAGTCTTCGCTGTCTAAGACGGACGAAAGCGTCGCGTTGAACCTTTGTAATGAACTTCAGTGGTTTGGTATAGCTTACAATTCTAACTTATCCTCCACCAATAGACCTGATGCAGCTCAGAGGTAGAAGAATATCCCAAAACACAAGTTCGAAAATTAAGTACAATTGGAATAAGAAGCTTACCTGAGACAGAAATAAACAGAGGCATCAAGCGGTCCGTAAGCAGCGGGGAGGGTAGATGTCCAAGCACCGACTTCAAAGCAGCTGCCAAGTCATGCACACTGTAGCTCTCCCAAAGTAAACATGCAGCATCAAATGATGGTTGAAAGATGGTCTCCTGAAGCTGACGTTTTCTGACCAAGTGCCCGGCTTTGCGGAAAATGCCTTCGGTTGAACAAGCTGGATAAAAGGGCAAATCGAACATTTGACCTAGTTTGTTAATATCAAACATGTACGAATCGCATTCTACGTTTGCTGAAGTTAGCACAGACGAATCCCGTGTTAAGCTGTACAACTGTCCGCGGGGAAAGAGGCGACCGTACCTCAGTTGCTACTCACTTCATGATTGACGAGACAAGTTGGCCGACAGTAGGCGATCTTAAGAACCGTGGTGTTCGAATAGCTGTTTACGAAAGCCTTATGGATCTTTGAGTGACGAGATAAAGGTTCAAGTGTTTTTGGATGAACTGATCGAAGTCATCCGGTCCTTTGACATGCGCTTTGCACCCACAAAATGCAAGGTCATGCGGTCACTGAGCATGCTTCTTATAGGGGGAGGCCGCCGAGGTGGCGTTTACTAAGTTTACACGCTTATGGTGGCAAAGCGTTACATCCCTTAATCTCAAGGATGTATACCAGACCATAGAACAGCTTGTTTTGTTGTGCTTACGAGGCATTCAGGCCTTCGATAACCACTGTCTCAGAACCATAATTCGTGTAGGCAACCAATGTGCAACGAGGCAATTAGAAGTCGAATGTTCGGCTGTACAACAGAGGTTTCAATAGAAGAAAGCCTTGATGGTTTGGTCATGCTCCAGACATGCCAATCAGCGTTTGCTGAAAACAGTTCTGTTTTTCGTGCCCAGTTCAGAGTGGAGCAAGCAGAGGGGTGGTCAGCAGTTGACCTCGTAGAGAAGTATGAAAGAGACTACGAAAAGTCTGAATCAAATAAATTATAGCTGGACAGAATTGAGGTATCAGTGTTGAATGTTGGTATTGTACGAAGATAATCATGCTGATCATGATGCATTTAGGAACACAATGATTAGGTTGATTGCAAGCTTCAGACTGACGGGGCTCACTTTCACATAGGTATTAATCAGGTAACCTAAGATGTCAAGCTTGCGGTCTAAATGAACGACCGGCAGGTGCACTGTTCCATGCGGATTAGCTGGGTGCATAGTATCCAAGCATGCATCTGTGAAGTGGAGCGAATACGCCTTAAGTGATATCAGCATCTGCCTTTTGCGGTTACCAAACTCTGAATCTATGACCAGCGAGCCGAAATTTATCAGGCCTTCAAAAACCTTGGTTTGTACCATGAGTCACGTAATCTGGTTGCAAAGATTCCATCACTGGTCGAAATGAACACTTCATGAAGCGCAATGTGGTAGTGTTTCTGTGGTTGTGCGCGCCACAACCCTTCACTTCGTAATGCACTGGTGATCTCGACTGATGTCGAAAAATTTGGGACCAAACTGTCCAGTTCCGTGGACATATCCACTCTACCGTTCAAACTGTCGGAACTACCAACGTTTTCCTCAGCAGTAGGCTAGAAAATGATTTAGATTAAAAAGTGAGAGAGGCGCTTTTAACTACTGTTGTCGGCTGATATCCAGATCATAATGTGCCTAACTGCACGAAATATACCAGTTTGTGAAGAACTTGGGGAACCAAGCCAGTAAACAATTTCTAGTTCCCAGTTTTGAGCAGATATCCTCCAGTTAGTTCCGGCCAGTTTAAGCGTCGAATGTGAAATTAGTTCAATGTCAATAAGTAGCCAACGATTAGAAATCGCCGGTCAGCCGATGGTGAATGTCGAAATCACTCAGGCGCCATTGTCATATCCTTCCTGAAATCTAGAATGTTTTAAATCGGTCTACTTCTGAAAATATTACAAGAATTAGTTGTTAGCACTGAGCTCCAACTGACATGATGCATTGGATGACACCTTCAGCCCTCTACGGAGTAGAAAACTGGACCCGTTACTCGGTGCATTTTGTTCGCCGAACTCAACCCTACATTGGATACTAGACGAAGTGGACAGGGCTTCACACACTTGCCGAGCCCTATAAAACATCCCGGCTGGAGTTCAAGTGATCAGTCTCGTGTCGTGTTGGTAACCGGCCAAGGTATGGCATACAAACGGTCCGAGAATCAAAAATGCTCCTAGTGTAGACGGGGCCCTTAGCTAAAGTTTCGGTTGCTTGTGTTGACTTACGTTGCATATGGTTGAAGTGATAAGCCATAATAAAGCTGTTCCGCTAATGCCACTTTGGTGCTGTGTTGTGTAGAATTGAGTGTAGTTCAAGAACTATGAGTACCTTGCTTTTGGCTGCCATGTTTGGGGTACATGGACTCTTTCTCCCTCTTCTATCAAGCAATAACTCATTACTGTATCCTAATATTACTGATGTCTTCGGGATAGTTCAGAACAACATGATCACCAATAGCCATGAAAGAGGAGAAGCGTACTTTTTGGTGCATCATAATGTTTTGAAGAAGAACAAACAGATTGAAATGTCCAAATTGGGACCATAACGGCGGATAAATCACTAACGAGTGCTCACCTTCATCCGTATCAAGAAGTTCGATCAAACTGACTATGTTATCGGAAACCGTTCCAGAAATGGCCTCGAATTTTAATTGCTCTGCAGACGAAAAAATCGGAGAGGATAAATGTAGTTCATGTTAGGAACCAAGCAAAGAGGGGAATACATACCAAAAGCTCATTAATGACCACTGATTGTTGCGGAGTGCCTAGTCAAACTTTACAGCAGTTAGGTATCGAAAATGACCAATAATCACCCGTATAAATTTCCATTTTTGTAGTGTAACTGTTGTTCTACTGTAAGGTGCAATACGCCTTGTAGTCTGCGTTAGGCTTTCGCCTGAGTTCACAACATCAAGTAGTGTCAAGCACTGCTGCTCTATTTCACCATTTCCCTTCATTGTTGTCATTAATATGATTGTGGAAAACTCACAACCAGTGGGGTCGAAGTGCTCCCGGGGCGTTCGCTCACAGATAGGAGTACACATCACAACATCAAGTAGTGTCAAGCACTGCTGCTCTATTTCACCATTTCCCTTCATTGTTGTCATTAATATGATTGTGGAAAACTCACAACCAGTGGGGTCGAAGTGCTCCCGGGGCGTTCGCTCACAGATATGGAGTACACAGACCACATAGCTCTTCTCGGATCTGATCCCGTGGTATTGCGAACAATATTAAATAATTAAATAACTGCGCCTCACTGTTTGGCATGCGCCTCATACCTGCAAAGTGTGAAAGTGCTACTGCAAGACTGGATGGACTCGGAACCCAACCCTAAATTTCCGGATGAGCCGACTGAGGTAGTAGACAAGTTTGCTTACCGGAGCAGCTGTATCCGTCCCGGCAAAGGTGATATTCCCATTCTGATCCGGGGAGTCAGAGCAACTTTCGTGAACCTGTATCACCTGTGACGTAGGCGTGACATCAGCTTATCCCTCAAGTGTCGAGTCTACAACGCTGCGATGCGCTGCATATTGTTATGTGGGTCAGAAACCTGGCCGCTGCGGGCTGAGGACATCAAAAGCTTTCAGTGTTTGACCATCCTTATCTTCGGCCATTGCTGGAGTCTCATGGTAATACTCATCAGAACCAACCAATTAAGTCGAATGGTCTTCGAGGAAAATAGGTTTCCCATGATAGTCACACTCCATAGGTTGCGCTGGCTTGATCACGTGCTCCGTATGCCAGTCGACCGACTTCATCGAAGGGCCAAGTGTGGAAACGAGCCAGGGAAAGTCAAACACTGACTTTGCAACGAAGTATGAAAGTCGTCAACAGCAAACATAGCTGCGCTGGTCATTGCCCTCTCCCTGCACGAGGACACAGACGGGACACATCAATGGACATGGCTCTGTAGCGCCCTAATTGGCAATCGAGCATCCAAGCTATTACCTCCCAACCCAAAACGCCAATGAAAACTCCACCGACAACCCTGTATTTAGGCATCAGTTATATCAATACTGCCCATAATTTTGTGCAGCTATCTACCCCACCTTCCCAAGTCATCGGTGAACGAAACCGTGGCTACCTTAACGACTGACGACAAGTTTGCGGTTTTTACACCTTATGACGATGATGTTCTATTACGAATATATTGAGAATACTGATTCCGTCCACGAAACGTACGTTCAGTTGGGTGTGAGTGTGTTTCGCCTTTGTAAAAAAAATCGTTCATCTGTAAAACCCTTTTTGTACCTAGTTTGCACACCACCGAAGGGTTAGGATACCGCTCAGGTCGCTCATGGCTAAACAGTATTCACCTTTGCAGATTGCTGCTGTTTGTTCTCAGCGTAAGCAAATGAACCCCCTTCTGTGATATTTCCACAACTATCCTTTGAACAATAACCGAAATAACTTTTTCGAATCTGCAGCGCTGTGATTCTTCCATAACAGGTTCTTCGATGTAAACAGTCTCCCTGAATTTTTAGTACCGATTTAACGCGTATCTGTGCAGTAGATGAGAGGCCAACCCTACGTAGCATGGGGTTAAAGGAGCATGTTTTCAGGCGGATTGAACAACCGTCCTCCTTTTCACTGGTCTGCTGTTCTACTTACGGCAAAAATGTAAGTGGTCTAAAAGCCCCACAGAAACAAATGTGTACACTTAACACTGTGCCTAAGTATTTGGTTTAAGGGGTGTTTTTGCATTGGCCTGTGTCACGCAGTTTCTGGGATTGACCATCATGCACCAAGCCATTGACACACTGTAGTAAACTCGTTCGTTGGAATTCAGTCTTTCTGTAGACGGGATCATGCGTTCCACACGGTTGTGGAATAGGCTACCTGTTGAAAATGTAGAAGCAACGGATCTAAGTTGGCTTTCCCTAGGTACAGATGTAACGCTTGTTTCTGTTTGTGGGCTATGTTGTCGTGTAAATCTGGGACGAATTTGGACCTCAGTGGCATGTCTAAAAATGAAACAATGTAGTCTAAAACACCAGTCAGCATGCAGCGCTAGACTTCAGGATAAATTGAGTGGGGAATGTAGGTTGTTCCGTAGAAGATGGAAGACGGACTTGGAATTACGTAAGCTGACAGTACCATCGACCCTTCTAACAGTCGATATAATTATACTCTTGCAACAGTACAGAATGCTTTGTATGTCCCGGTGAATGATTTCTGACTTCTTCACCACCAAAGCCTCACTAAGACAACCTAATCGCACCTCTTGTACAGCTCGCTCTCATTATGCCGTCACCTCCATTTCGGGCATTGTCGGTAAGCAAACGTTCCAATAAAATGGATTTGATCAAGTCACACGCCGAGCCTTAAACGGTCGATGGACTTCTACCATTCGAGATGATAGAGCTAGTTCTCAATACATAAAATTACAAAATACCTTAAAATTTTCAGAGAACTCATTAAAAGGTGTTTTTTCTCCGTTTCACTTTGGAAGTTGAGTAAAATTTGGAGCATCCTCCTAACGAGGTCCTGAAAATCCAGTTTTCAATGATATGCACTATGGCACAAGTTTGTTTATGCTGAGTTTGATCGAGGACTGTCCGTCGCATTCAGTGTTCTTATCGAAGTCCCATCAACCGATATAGCTCGTTCTCCCACAATGAGCACATTACCAGTAACGAGTACGCTGAAGTGTTTCCACGCACTTAGGTTGCAACTTCTGCTCTTGAACATGCTTGGAAAAGCCAATAATGGTTACATGATCCATTCAGCCGCAATTTGATTGCACTATTAAAAACTCTCAGGAAATTGCTTTTGTTGGATGGTGTAACAGCAAATTAATTGACTTTGGGTGGAGTAGCCTGAGGCAATCTGTAGGATCGCTCATGGGGCCAACATATCGGTTGACCTAAGGCTGTCAGATTCAGTGACACACACACATTAACGCCACTGAACATCCAGATGGACGCCTGATGACTTGAGGCTGTCTGCTGGTTTCGGCCAAGTCGTACATTTACGCTCACTGCAGTCGAACGCGTCACTGGATATTCAAACGCTGACTCCGCTCGTTTGTTACAGCCCTGTATATTGCTGTGGTGAACCACAGTCCAAATTTGCTTGTTCGTTCGTCAAACAACCGGCACAGCCGTTATGTCGGTAGTTCGGGCGTCAAGAGAAAACTGCTGCGACGGAGCTGTCGGTGCAGAAACCTGTGGGCAGCGCTAATTGAGGATGCCATCACAAAAAATATCAGTACAATAACGGTTTACCGTATCACTACAACTAATACACTGGTAGTTCGGGGTTGTTCTCACAAATTCAAATTTGTCACTGTTTTAATTCAGAACCTCTTTCAAAAGACAACCCATCAAACAGTTTAGTAACCTAAAGTTGCGAACGAAGCACGTCAGTTGCTAATATCGTCAGGTAAAAACCTAAAATCCACCGATGGGGTTGGAGCCTGTGATAATCTGACACATTTTAGATGTCTGAAAGTTGTATGTCTGTTTCAAAACGAGTAACTGGACTTGGGGTTTATGGTAAGATTGTGTGATAAGCTAAGACTCAGTAGTCCTTTGTGACAAACTAGACTAATAAACGGAGCGCTGAATTCAGTGTTGAGCTTACAGTTTGTCCGAACATCTTAGTAGAAGCACCTCATTTCAAGTGCTTCCCTCGTTGGTTGTAAGATTCCAAAAGGAGAATGTCACTTACATATCTCACAGTCCCATGTATGTTGCGGTCTCTTCATAGGAAAAAGTTTCACGGAAATGGAAATTGAAATTTCGGAAGTGACTCAACGGCTTGTGAGTTTTGTATTGAAAAACTGTCGAGGTAGATGAAAACTTACTTCGACATAGATGTACACCAACTTGACATGACCACTGTTATGCCGATATTCAGTAAGCTCTTTTGCCAAGTTTTGGATGGATTGACTCCAACATGTGCTCAGGATAGATAGTTCAATCTCAGCAACAGGATGTTTGTTCACAGGTGTGCGGAGCTGATTAATAGTGTGCTGATTCACGCGACATTAGTAAGTAAGCTGTCAGCTGCTTGTGGATTTAATTTATCGCAACGAGATCCGGATGTTGTCATGCTACTTCCGTGTGAGTGCAACAAGTGAGCCATGAGTTGTCGCTGTTGATACTGTGGGACTTCATCACTGAGTTAGCCAACACCTTTCTGGAACATCCAATTGACTGCGAGTTTCTACACCCACCCCCTAGGCCTTTACACTTTGTTCACCCAAGCATGTGGAACGACAGACAATAGAAACTATGACATGACAACCTCATTTGATCACATTCCTTAATGATGAAACGATAGTTGTCTCGATAATCAACTGTCTGGTTGTGCAGCCTTGTCACTCCATCTATTGACAACCTATCATACCATCTGGAATGCCCGTCCACTAACTATCGACATGACCTTTGTAGTATGAGTGAAGGCCACATTCGACTGAAAGAGGAGACAATTTAATGTAAACTCCCAATACAATAGGGGCGACAAATGATCAGTTGCCAAATCCCGAGACAAACCTGTTCGAACAGGTGCCAAATAATGAGGGCTACAGCTCATTGCACCTTCCAGTTCATCTCGCTTTCGGTGCCCGTGCATGCTTTGTCTCCAGAGTCACTTGTAGTACATTGTACACAGCCATCCTGGAACTGGTACACCCTGCTATCCAACATAAGCGCCCTACATTTCAGTCTGCCCCAATTTCGCGTCCTGGTCATTGTCTCATCAGACCGAAAGAACCCGTGTGGCTGCTTGCTTTGTCTACGCTCGCACTCACGGGGTACTACGCACTCGGTTCACTCAGCCAACTCTGCATCTTAGTGCCCAGAGTGATAAATGTCGGGCGGCTGCATGCAAATGAGGTACACAAAATTGCTGTTTTGCTTGTACAAAAGTGAACAACCAACGAGTGTTCTGGATGAATTCATTAAAAAAGTGTATGGGGTCAAAAAATGGGCTTTTTCTGGGTCGGATCCTGTCGAAGGCATCAGGCTGGAATATTGTAAACCGCAGATAAATAGATCCTAAAATGAACAAACTGCAACGGACTGAGACAGATGACACGCAACCCATGCGAAAAGTTAAGTGAACACTGCCACCTTCAATCTAAAAAAAACAACCACCACAAAGCGCAATGAACTGACCACCACAAATAAACACGCCAAAACGTCGAGTCAGATAATGAGAATCCTTTAGAATATAGAACAAGCAGTAGCTTGTAATGAGGTTACCCTGATGAGAGAAGGTGACGCTGTATCAGAAGAGGTCACTGATCGCCCAGTTACTGTGACAGACGACCAAAAGGTTATATTTCAACGTGCTGATACATGTATGATGAATAAACTAGGAATAAGCATTAGCAAGTTAATTACTGTGTTGTGCAGCCTACTGATCCACTGAATCATCCAGCCCCTTATTATCACAATACGAGAACTAAATACACAGGTTGCGCTTCTGCAGCTGCATCGGTGTTGGATGCAATGAAAGTTGACTAAGGTAAGGAGTGAAGTTACGGAAGTCGCATTGGGAAAATTCGTAGGTGTGAAAAAGAACATATGCAGACGAAAAAACCGGTGTCCAGTTGAGGAAGCAGAGGCATTGCTTATGGTAACATTCACTCTGATACGCAATTAGCCATAACAAGTTGAGATTTCTCCCATCAAACGGGTGTTGCCAACCCAAAGCGAGTCCGATTTGACTGATAGCGGAATATATGAAAATCATGTGATAGGTCAACATGTTAACCTCACTACCTGTCTTGGCATATTGATAACTAGTTTTATAAATCGATGAACTAGCGGCCAAGCCGGAGTAATTTTAGTTCAGGCTACTAGACTCATTCACTTTAGTTTAGCTAAATATATATTATCGTACGAAACCCTTGTACTAAGGTAAGCTGTGTCGATGATACTCAGACCTGATGGAAAAACCATTCACTGTGGTCTGGAGATGGCGCTCGGCAGATGAAAGCAATGGCCACTTTATTGTCCAATACAGATTGTTCACGGATATGTATCGCTGATTAGGACAAGGAAAGCCCTCTTTTGGTCCTTGCCTCTTAAGGTAGAACTCCGGAATGCTCGTCAAGGTGATCCATCGTCTGTCCAATAATGTAAAATCCAAATCCCACAGAAGAATCTAAACGCACGCATCAGTACGAATATTTCGTGTGGACTCTGGCGAAATTCCAAGGCGACTAGTGTAATACACGTCCTTCGCAAATGATCAGATAAAGTCAACAAAACTGGAATACGTACCTACAAAAAGCCTCATGAATGACTAAGACCAAACAACAACTCAAGTTGAGACAACGTTGGAGTGGTTTTCCGATTTGACAGCAGGAACACAGGATCGAAATGAAAGTACGTCGATACAAAAGCTTGTTAAACTGCAGCGATCAACACAGGCATGATGATCTGCAGCATCTTACTGACGGTAAGGGATTGAATTCACACATATTTGAAGGTTGCAGTTTCAGGACTTTGACATAATACAGGTCCGGAACTCCATAATGCCTGCTTCCATTCTAGGACATACTATGCTGACGTCAAAATCACACGGCCCAGTCTCTCCACGGTGTGATCTAACAGTCCGACATTATGGAAATTCTGGTGCCTCAAAAAGTGATCTTGGTAGTCGAACAGGGTGTGAAAGATTATGCCTCAGCTATGTTTTACCAGAGTGTGACCGGATAAATAATCATGTGTGAACCTTTCCGGGTTTAACGGGAGAACAAGCATTTTAGTCCCACCAATGCGGCACTTATGTGACCCTTGAACGGCTCCACCAGAATATTGAACAGTGAGGCATTGATGGTTCAGGATTGCATGAAGGTTGCTTCCTTTGGCTGTCATCAACAGATAATAGTAGCAAGAAAGTGTTTACGAATTCTGTATTTGGACTATGAGGACTATAAGGGACTACAAGGAGGGTTCATTCTGAAGGGTGCCGAATCCATTACTCAAGAAGCCAATGTACATGTATGATTGCGTGAGAGACTACTCAACCGCGCACTGTGTACTTGAATGTGGCGGAATCGGTCAATGCAGACCAATGAATGCACTGCCCACTCAAAGTTCTCAGTCAAACACCTTCTTCCTCAGGCCCTAGAGAATAACACGCTTGTTTAGGATCGGACAATCTGGTAGTACTTCAGTCTTCTTGTTTTTCCCGAAGCATGACTGTTTTTATCCAGATGAAACAACCAAAATTGTCGCTTTCCCTAGCGCCATGTGTACTTTCTACCAGTTCTAGTCATCAAGCAGTACAAAGAAGGTCGAGATTAGACTTACGTGGATTGACTCTGGACCCGGCCAGTAGTCGTTTCAGTGCTGACTTCGGTGTACAATCCTGTGTAGACGAAACACGTTGGCCGAACAAATCCCACGGAATATCGATGAGGAAGGACAAGTGTACCATGCATAGCTCTTGAAATCGATGGCTGAATCTATCACGGAAATCGCGAATTATGTTATCCTCCGCAACACTTTGACGTAGACGCGTCGCGTACTCCTGGACTATATTCTATAATAAAATATTTGGACTCCATCTCCAGGGGAAATTCACGCTTACTCTCGCAGCCGTCATTTGCGTACAGGGAAGTAGTTGTGACTTATCCCACGGCTGTGGAATATGCCTTTTCAAATTGTAAGCTGCTCAGAACGATCGATAATCACGCACTACACGCCGACATAAAGGGCAACTACACTGTCAAATGAACTGAGACTTTGCCAGCGTTGATGAGCCGGGCGCAAACCTGTGACTCACACCAGATAGGTAATTCTGATTGGTTAGGACTATATTCACTTGCGGTAGGATGCCACTGGCCTGTCATGTCCATTTCGCCTGAACTAGCGCGCAAATCGCGACTTAGGGGTGGGGCTGGGTTAACACATTTAAACCCGTTGACCCAGTTGGCCTCGTGGATGGAACCCATGAGAAAATAAAGACGCCAGTTGTCTGGTTCTCGTCTGTCCCAGCCATTAATTATTCCCTGGTTCTGTTCGTTCCTAAACAGAATCACAGTGTGGAGAGAAGACCGGCGAGACAGATGTTCGCAAAAGTACCTGCATAAGATCAGTCTGTATCACTCACTTCACCGAAAATCGCACTGCGTATTTCAATTGGCCACGAACAAAAAGTCACTGTAGTACTGTAGAACCGATAGCCAGCAAATACTGTGGTGACTAGTGTTTCGGCCTTTTGGAAACGTGAATAGTGTGATCACCGCGAAAACCGTTTACAGCAATCTGGTCCTGTTTGTAAGTAGTGAGATGGATAGTTCAGGTCGGCCACTTGACTCCGGATGACAGATTTCACCACTTGCCACGACACCACACAGACATGAGTCACCAATTTACGAGGTTGCTGAATAGGAAGTGAACTGCAGAATCCTCAACATCATCAACCCTCCAGAATGACCTTTCCCCATTTATCCCATCAGAATTCTCTAGAGATCACTTCAATCTGGTATATAGAGCTCGATGAGGCTTCTTTCCCCGGCTTCTGCTTCACTTTCTTTTTGCACTATCAACCAAGACAAGGTTACTTTTAAAAGTGAGAATTGCGTTTACCTCGCATGAGAGACAGATCTAGTGTGTCAATTTACAAGGCCTTCGCCAGTTCCAGCTACGTTTACCCCGGGACAGCTTTACGATGGTGAATCTGCCTCTCTCTCCTAACTGTAACTCCAAGCCTCAAATACCATTGGAGCTATGGAGTGAAGATGTGGTCAGTCGTGAAAAACAGTCATTGCTTTCCGTCTCGATTAGAACTCATCACATATATGTATTAGGATAAGTCTTTGATGACATATTTCCAAGAAGGGTCGCAACATCACGCTGCCATTGTTAACGGGGTATACACAGAATCTGACATTTTCACAACATGAAATGACAGATTTCGTCAAGCAACTAAATCATGTTAGCCATTTTATAAAATGCCTCCTATTAACTAAAAATACGCTATCAGTCTGAATGTGCCTATTCAAAATGCAGAATGGTTGTCCCTATCGTTTTGGTGAGCCGAAGAAGTGAGTGATTAACTGAAGAAATAAATACTCAAGCAATACCCCCCACAAGTGAGGTGAGGACACTCGGAGTGTCTATCGGAGGCGAGTGGTTTCCTCCACCATCAGATGTCGTACCGATTGATCGGCCCAGGAATTCAAACGTGCACGAAACAACTGTCTTCCAGCCTATTCAGGAACTTAGTCATACTATCGACCAAGTAACCGCTTGCTGGGAATAACGTTAATATCACTTTAACTTTGAATTCTGCTTTCAAATATGATAAGCCTGAGAAACACATGTAACAATCTGTCGACTGGCCTCTAGTGTGCCTATCAGAATTTAGAATTTGGTGTCGTAAATAGTGAAACGACTTGCTTGTTCATGATAAACCGCGTTTCGGTTTTCTGCGGCGACTGCATGGACGGAATCAGCGTGACGGTGTAAAACGCAAACCTTAAAATACCACCACTGTAATGTATGCGGCGCAGTTTTAAGGACAGACCTTAAATGGTCAATTCAGAGAGGTAAAAACGGAAGACTTCGTATTACTTCCTGCACATTCTTTTTCCTAGTTTAATACTGAAGTTCATTATAAAGAGAAACAAAGTTACCAAATTAGCTTTAAGTTGATCCCTACTATTTCTTTCAGACAGTACACATTACAGTCAATGGTGACCCTACCTAGATAGATCAAAACAGGCCTTTTCAGGGATGCTTTCAATTGGTAATTTTGTGCATCCGAACGATCCACTATCCTCTAAATTTTTCTAAATTTCTGTCGATTTATCCTCTAATGGTGACGAAAGATTTGCAACCCCATTGTCAAGCTTGGTGAACAGAGCAACAACCATTTGAGCTACAACACTGCATGTGGATAAGCTTCACAGATACCTTTGAATGTAGGTCCGTAACGAAGTGGTTTCCAGTGAACCCTTCTGTTCCAATCGCATAAACGGGTTTGACAGTAAGTGAGCGATTCGAGTCTACTCACATAACTTGGACAACAGGCTTTCGGCTGATTAACGCCGAAGGTCCCAGCATATCGAACTTGGTTGAGTTGCTTGCCAGGAGAACCATAGGCACATACATCTCGCTGGAAGTACTGGAGGCAAGTAGCCCCAACTATGGTCGCATTCAGCACTCTACCAACAGGTGCGTATTTGGATACTGGTAACTAAGAACAACGAAAGGAATCTGGAATATTGCTGATAGGCATAGTGTGTGAGAGAACTTGTATTAGACCGAAACAGCAGACGACCTTAGTGTTGCGAAAAAAACAAGCTGGACAAACATCTGGCTCACCTCAATGAGGTGGAGCATGCACGTCTACAATTCTTTGTTCGACAATGTTCAGTCAATACTTAATTTTTACGACGTGCTTAAACTAAACATTTGAGTTTCCGGCGGAACTGTTTAGGGTTAATACGGTTTGCAGATCGGAAATCCACATAAAAACAATAGGACCGGACCACCTGGTTGTGTCTGAAGACATAAATACCCGGCCACTCACACCAATTAGCTTAGTGTAAACTACAGACAGGGGGCTTGGTTTGTTTAGCGGATGCAGGTCGCATCCGGCGCAAGACCAGAATACAAAGACATGCTGGAACGGCAACAACAACAATGGTAACCACGAGGCTGACAGTGTGTTTGCTTATTACAGTTCTTTCTACACAGCTACTTCGAATCAGGCCGAAAGACAAATGGATCCAGAACACACAGATGTCTGGGTACTCACCAACGCCTTAGAAACCATCATTTTTGGCTAGTTGTGGATCAATTAGCCTGTTTCTTGTCGAGACACACGGATCGTACCGTCGAATCCTTTGTATCACAAAGTCACATCCTGACTGCAGACATGAGAACTGACCTAGACTGCAGTCGCTTGCCACAAATGTCAAATCTACTTTAGCCACAACGTTTGACGGCCCCAAGTCGTGGTGAATCCGCGCACAAATTAGTTAGAATCAAACCCGATTTTCAAGGCCACGTAACAGAACAGTGAGTGGAACAGGCTGACAACCCTTACATAGGCATATGTTTTGTAATCCTACCGTAGAAAGGCGAGAATATACATCTATTCTACTGGGCTACCACTTGGATAAAAGTGGAATGCGCACCGGATCGATTGGGAAACTTTTGAAGTCAGATCACCGCTTCAGTATGTACTCAGTACGTTCTGAAGTGGGCCGAGTTGGCCATTCAAAAACATATCTCTCAGCGACGTACTTACTGCGACAGTTCCTTATAGCAACATTGTTAAACCATTACAGTAGTTTCGAGTCAAATGAACCAATGATGGAAGGTGCGCCCCAGGCAATAAGTAAGCGCTGATCCTCCACAGGTCATTAAAATGTCGAAAATGGTCAGTATAAGCCGTCATTAGCAATGGTTTTAGTGTTTATCTAGCACAGACATTTTTTTCGAATGATAACCCTAATCAATATTATACAGCGCCTGTGGCATTCACCAGAACACATATTTGATGAAAAATGCAACGGGATATTCCCCACTGATATGGACGTGAAAGTTGCTTGCACGCTTTGACGGAGTTTCGAACACATTTGGTGGTTTAGTTCAATTCGCCACGTCATTAGAGGCCTACTGAGTAGCATTTAGTGTGTACTTTCCAACCTTTGACCTTAAAAGGTGCCCAAGTGTGCCCATCGTGTTTCTGACATTCGTTTGACGGTATCCTGCCACGCAAGGTCACAGCGGCAGTAGATAGCAGACCGACATAGTGTAAGGTAAGTGCGACCGTCCACCTTACCAAGCTCGAAAGCCTAATCACTCGACTGTATGAGCGAGTGGTCAGCTGATCTGATGATTATTGATTAGGCTAGTTACATATATTTTGTAGATCTTCGTGATTTTTCAGTGCAGTCACAGCCCTTCCTTCTGACATGGAAATATGAAAAATCACTATAGACCAGTCGGCTGACTGTATGTGCGGGCAGGATATGCATCGCCTGTATTGACAATAACGGAACACCACCAAAGTTAACTTCCAAGCTCTTGTCTTATCAATGCAAGTTCCACTGAATAGACCATACGGATAGTACACACACAACATACAATGGATGCGCCAATAGTCCTCATACTTGCAGTTCGTAGGCTTCATTCAAGCTTCCACTGGAGTGTGCCTAAATGTGCGAACGGCACCGCCAATAAACAGTCATTCCTCAGCTTCAAAGGCCAGAAAAATACCTGCTCGAAAGTGAATTAGACAGTTACTATGATACGATGATCTGGCACATTAGGTAATTAGTAAAATACCAGTCAGACCCGGAAGTATACCAAAATGCGAAGATTTTAGCTTTTTGGTTATTTCAGAATATAGGTGTAACATTTTTTCTTTGTAGCTATTGGGGCAGTTATTCCAGGGATGTTCGCTATGAGGCACTTGTCCTGATGTGTGTGACTGGTAGCTGCAAACTGTTGTGCGAGGCATTGCTACAATCATGCGATTTTTCTGGTAAACAGACCATTTTCTGAAGGCATGAAACGATTAGT